GATTTTAAAACTTGGTAAGATGGACAGTTTTTGCAGTGTATTAAATGTTAAGCTACAGTTACAATGTAGATGTTACATTGAAGTTTCTTTCTAGATACAGCATTAGCAATAAAGCCAAGTTTTGACGAATGAAAACTGGCAGTTTGTCCCAATCATTTCCGGGGTTTGAAATATTATCATGACACAAAAGAAATATCCTGAAATATCCCTAGCCAAAATTCATTAATTGTCAAGGACATAGTTTAAGTGCATGTCTCTAGCAATGATTGTGTGAAGTATGTCACGTGACAGGTTTCCAGTCTATCACAAAAATGTAAAAGTTTTTGACTGTAAATCACACTGCAAATAAGTTTGTCTGCAAATTTGTTACTTTACAGTAACAAATCTATGACATAAACATCAGCAATAGGCATAACTGCACAATTGCGGTAACTGCATTTTATTCATTAAATATGGCTTAGGAACAGAATACCATACATTGCAGCAGAGCTGTAGTAAGATCTGAAGTAGTTTGAAGCAAATTCATAAAAGTGGTGTACAAGAGATTCATTTAATTTGAAATACAATAGTATTTATGAAGTTGGCTTTCTATTACCTTTACCTTCCAGAAATTCAATTGACAAAAAATTTTTTGAATTAAAACTGAAATATTGATGCAGACTTTTTTTTCGAACAGTCTATATACAAATTGCCCTCATAATTCRACAGAAATATGAACATCTGTCTTAATTTGGAGCATTACTGTAGACCAGGGCTATTCAACTAAACTGATCCTGGGGCCACAGTTGATGCAGGCCAAGATCTGAAGGGCCGAACATCCAGCCATTAAGGTCGTTACGTAAATAAACCAAGAATTACAAAGATCTGTTACATTTGAAATAGTTCATTTTGCTGCATTTGATCATACAGTAAAGACAACAGACAGAACTTATCAAAGTAGTGACAACATCAAACAACAAACATCAAAAACAACAATATTAAAAAATAACACATTATGCCTTCTATTTAACAAATTTATTTTGACATCTCTGACTTGCCAAATTTTCAAATCTAATTTATTTTCACTTTCATTGTTTTATCTTCAACTGCTTGTAGTTTTATCTGTCTTGGATGTTCATAAAAAGGGTTTTTACCAGCTTGTAGCCAAGATTCTGATGTTTCTGTAGATACCAAACATGTCTATGTCTAACCAAAAGAACTTATAGGAATTTATCTCTTAAGCCCAAACCCTTGGTTTTCTACTTTAAAGAACTTATAGGAATTAAAGTAGAAAACCACGGGTTTTGGGCTTAAGAGATAAATGAACCACTTGGTCCACTCGTGGGCGGGATGTGGTCAACAGGCTGCCAGTTGAACAGCCCTGCTCTAGGCTATTCTAGACATCCTGTCTGGATTCAACAATGCCTTCCGCATACTGGACAAGGGAAATGTAAATGTCAGCACCATAGGACATGGAGAGTTCCATGGGATTGAAAAAGGTGGCTCAATCTTTCCAAATCCTCACTGTCAAGTGGAGACTGAAGTTCTGGAAGGTGTACGCCAGTTTGTTCCATGTCTGTGCTGTCCACCGCTTCATTCTCAGCCTGAAATTAGACACCATCTATCAATTCAAAACAATCTATAAACAAAATGTTTGAGTATTTTCCCATTTATGCTATTTTTCACAATGAATTAGAAAACCTGTGCCTTGAGTAATCTTACATCAACATTTTCAGGGGGGTTTACTGGACTTTGGGTCTTCCCAATCTCCCACAGTTGGTTAGGGGTATTGTTATGTTCTGTCCTGAGTGAATGGTTGTTCCATCCTTCGGTAAACATATCAAAATCTGCTTGAATTTGTGGCAAAAACACATAATGTGCACAGGAAAGGTCGGTACTGCTTGTGGGATCCAAGAGTCTGTCCCCCTCAAGCCTGTGAAGAACATCGTAGTATATGTTGGTGACAGCATTCCAAACGTCGCGCCATAGTCGCTCAATCCTGAAAAATAAATACAATTGGTAATAACCTTAAAAAAACATTCTACTTGATAAAATAAATCAATTTAAAAACACTGTTGGAATTAAAATGTTACATAAATTAATGAATGGCCTGCTCTAAAATATCACTTCACCAAGTCCAAGAACTCTAGAATGCATGTTTCTGTCAACCGGCAATGCACGAACCAGGACACTGAATTTAGATTTTGACTTGAAAGTTGAAATCAACAAAAATAGGCCACACATCCGTGTTGAACAGCCTCGCGTTATCTGTTGTATCAAGAGTGCTTAGTAAAATTTGAATATCTACAAATAATTTCAAAACCAGCAAGTAAGGATTCCTAATGTACTGTGTTTTATAAATATTTTCTAAAATGCACAACAATGACCACATTTTGATGCTTAACTAAATATTGTTGGGCTACAAAAATTTAATATATTACCTTTTGCTGATTTAATACATCTAAGATTTAGTCACTTCAGCCTCTTGGTTTAGAAGATTTGCAATAAGTGCTTTGATTGGATGAAAAAAGCCTTTTGTTTGTTCATATTGATATCTGCTCTAAAATCAGTGTTACTGCGCGCGCAAGCTGATGGCACAAATGTAACGCTATAATAAACACGCTCCTAAACCTTGTGGACAGTCGTCCCAGAAGAGTTGAAGCTGTTCTAGCTGCAAAGGGTGGACCAATGTCATATTGAACCATATGGATTAGGAATGGGAAGTCACGTAACTCATATGTGAGTCAAGGCGAATAAAGTGAAGGCAGATGAAGTGTCTTGCACAAGGATACAAC